TCAGACTATCTCTATTTCTTTCCTTGATTCTAGCTAATAAAATGAAGTTTATGTATTTATTAAATTTTTATCTCACTTTTCCACTAAGAACTCATGGTTAGCCCTCTCTCCTCCAGCCTTTCCTCACAACAAACCTGTGAGGTAAGCTGAGTGAATGTTAGCAACTGACCGAAAGCCATACTATGAGCTTCAATGGCTGAGGACAGACTTGAAGTTGGGTCTTAGTCCAATGCATCACACTTACTCTGGAATATGGAAGGTTCTTAAGATGAGGGTGTTAAACAATGAACAAATTTATTCCTATATAGTGTGATATCTAGTCACAAGTGGAGAACTACCAGTATGGCTATTCCACCTTAGAAAGCAATCCTAAATGCTCAAGCAGTGATTTAAGACCATCTTACCCATCTTGGTGCTTTCCATATATGTTAGATCACAGTTCCATAATATATAACAAACCATGCCGTTGGTGGTTTTGTTCTGTGAAAAATCTTGTGGCTGTAGCTTCCATCCCTTCCATGAACAAGGTTGAGGAAGGCTGAGCTTAGAGCCTGTTCTTTGAGATGATTATTAGCATAAAGCCAATATCTCTCTCATGCCTCTGGCCATTTTGAAAAATGCCTTATGATTGGAATTAACAAGCTATCAGAGGTGCCTTTGAGAGTTTAGATTGCCGTTCTGTTCATTTTAGAGTCCAGGTACCTTTTTCAGGAACAGATAATCATTATGGAAAAATGATTTAGTTTTGTCAAGACAAATAATGAGGGAATTTGGGAATAATCATTTTCGAACAACTTGCAAGGCCTAAAAATAGTGATACCTCAGCATGAAGTAGGAGACTAGTAATGAGGTTTGCTTTTCTGTTCCTCTGCTGTAAGAATCACTAGAAATTAGAGATTTGTTTGGGCCATCTGTTGATAAGTCTATGCTTCTTTTACTCCCATGACTGAGAGCTGCCTCCCTCAGAATCTACAGTACATCCTTTAATCTGTTTTTTTTCCCCTTCATCTTTTTCTTTATCACAGTGGTTCTCAACCTTTCTAATGCCGCGACCCCATAATACAGTTCCCCATGTTGTGGTGACCCCCAACCACTTATATATCACTGGGTGCCAGGGGCGTGGCCAAAGAAAAGGGGGGGAAATGGCGGACAGCCTTGTTTGGGGACCCCCGTGAAATGGTCGTTCAACCCCAAATGGGGTTCCGACCCACAGGTTGAAAACCATTGCTTTATCAGATGCCACTCACAGGAACAATTTTATATTCAGCTTCTTAATCTCAGCATTTTAGTTTCCTGGATGCAGAATAAATTGTGGCAGTAATGAAAGTTCATTTTAACTTTTGGATATTTGAATGCAAATTTATACCAGCGTTCCTTCTGTACGATTCTGAATCTTGAGTATTTGAAGAGTTATCTTTTTACTTTTTTGCTATGTGAGGCTTCCAAGACTTCTGAACTCTTTTTTGCATCTTTCTACCCTGTGATGTTCCATGACTTAAAATATAGGATAGGACCATTTCATTTGTGATGGCCCATACTATATATGAAATAACATCTCAAGAGAAACTGAGAATGTCAGTTATTTTTGCTCAGCACTCAGCTTTTCTTTGATTTGCCTGCATTTGAATAGAGAACTTTTTAATTTTGAGGTCTATTCAGATCTCATAATTTGTACAATTTTGTATTTTCCCTTCTCTTTTAATATCAGATTGTATATAATTTAGGTCAGTTGAATTGAAGTTCCTTAACAGTATAGAGTTTTTGCTAAAGAATCGATGCCTTCAAAACCTTGCTTTGAAGGTCATATGTTTATGTTTCTTCAGAAGCTGTGAAAATCAAGTAATAACATCTGCAACCTGAAACTACTCTTGTTCAAACATTATGAGTTGTTTTAAATGTGTCCCTTGCTCTTAGTTTGTTTTTGCATGTATATTACATGCAAACTGAGGAGATAATCAGGAATAGAAAATTACATTTAAAAAAATCTTTCATGGAAATTGGCATTATACTTAGGTTATGGATTGCATGTGCTGTCTATTCCTATAAAATGATATTATGTTCCTTTCAAGTATCCATGATTCTCATGGTCATTTTTCAACCTGGCAGTTTCTCTTCTGAATTTAACTATATTTGTTTCCAGTGATGGTGTTAATCATAATGGTCACAAGCTGCAACTACCTAATTTTTGTTTCAGTATAAGAAAAACGTTCTGACAGTAAAATCTGTAGAAAAAATGAGGGAGTTTGTTAAGAATCACTGTCTCTGAGATTCTCTGAAAGAAGAGGCTGGACAGTCACTTTTTGAGAGTTGGACTTGATCTTTGCAGTCCCTTCCAATTCCACAATCTATAGTTCTATCAATCTTGAGATGAAACATTGCTTTTTTAATAAAATAATATTTTTGTGTGTGTGTGTATGTGTGTTTTGCAGTGTAAAACATGTTCCGAGCCAAAACAAATGACCAGTTCTTCTGCTCTATACCACAATCCCAATTTGATCAAACCAATCCCTCTGAAGCCCAGGGAAAGCCAGAAAGTCCAGGTATGTGGACATATTCGCATTCATGATTAACTATTCAACTGATTAATTTCTTAAATATAGTGGGGTTTGTTTTAATAGAAGTATATATAGAATCATCTGTGAGACAGTTGGACATGTCTTCAGCTACATTCAGATTGATAAAATAAAACCAATGGCAGAAGGGTGAGCTTGATTCAGTGAGGGTTTTAAGAGGCTTCTGCTACTTATCAGGGAGTGACGGATCATGCATCCTTGGTGGAAACAATTGTGATGTCATAACAGGAAAAATATAGGCTGCTTGCTATCTGTCAGATGCAAGGAACCAGAACAACTTGTGTATAGGGCAAAGTGGTGTCTTTATTTTGATACCTCTACATGCAAGACGTTTGCCAGATTAACTGCATTCTCTTGGGAACAGGCAGATAAAGGCTTCAAGGGTCTGGCCCCTGTTGCTTCTTCCTGCCGAGTGACTCCAAGCTGAACCCCCTCTTTACTCCTCCCTCTTCTATATCCAGAAATTTTACCACACTATCATTGTACAAGTGTGCGCCGAGGGATCACTGGACACTAGAAAAATATGTGACCTCATTGCCTTATGAAACAGTAGCCATGGCTAGACCAAAGCAAACCAATATACAGTAAGTAGGGGATAACTTCAGTCCCCTACATGCCATTTCCCCTCACAACTATCTATTCTGATCATTTCCCCCCCCCCCCAGGTTCCGGTGAGGATTTGTTTTTATTTATTGTTGATGCAGCTAGCCAAGTCAGATTTGGCCTTAATTATTCTTCCTTCCTTCTTTCAGAACACAGATTCTGAGCCACAGCACCTATCCCTTATGACTCTCTTTGGAAAGCAGGAAAAATCAAGTCTATACCAAAATGTCTCAGGGCCATCTCAGAAACTCCACCAAGACATTTTTCCTCTGAGACAAGGAGTTGTGCGCACTTTCTCATACGAGGAGCCTGGAAGACACTCGCCCACAGCAGAAAAGCAGCTCTGCCCGGCCATTCAAAAACTGATGGTGCGTGGACCAGAGCTTCACCCAGTCTCAGAACTCCCAGAGAGCCGCCTCTGCGAGAATGGCAGCCAACCTTCTTCCGTAGGAGAAGCTTTCACTGGGCTCTTCCAGCCTGTGACTTCACAGAGCGTTGGGAGTTCTCATCCTGCCCAGAACACCGTGTGCGCGAGGAGCCTGCTCCAGCAGTTGCAAGGCCAGTCTGAACAGAGGACTAAAGTGGAAGCTAACAGCATAGGACTAGCAAATTCAACTGCTCCAGGCTTCAACAGGACTCCAGCCATCTCCTCGATGGCCCAGGTAAACAGTGTAATACAGCCACCCATGATGTACTTCAATGGTTCCCTACCAAGCCCAGCTCTTGGTAAAGAACAATCCAAACCTGCTAAGCAGTCGCATCCTCTTCCTGGGAATCACCCTGGAAATTCTGGCATAATTTCACCTCAGGAGTTGTTGAAGAAACTGCAGATAGTGCAGCAGGAACAACAGCTGCACATAGCCAGTCGGCCAACCTTAGCTGCTAAGTTTCCTGTAGTTACTCAGGCCTCCACCACTCTGAAACCTTTGGATTCTTGGATGGACAAGGCTTCAGCGACAGAAAAGCAACCCCCACTTCTTCAGGTAAATCAACGATAAATGTGATAGCACCTAAAACGGGTGAGCAACTACAGCCCATTTATGACCTATGGACTTCAACTCCTAAACTTCCTGAGCCAGCATAGCTGTGTCAGGAATTCTGGGAGTTGACGTCCACAGGTCGTTAAAGGGGCCATAATTGCCTACCCCTGATCTAACATACTAGATTCCTCAAATGGCTCTATTTTAGCATTATTATTAGTTTCTCTTTGAACGACATAAGCAGATCTTTTCCAGCGCTAGGGACAATGCCTAATCCTTTAGCCACATTTCTGCTTTGCAAACACTTCTCTTAGCTTATCTAAAAAAGCACAGGATAAGCCTTAATGACTTTCCCAAGTGTTCAGAAGAAGGATTTAAAAATCCCAGGACTGCAATTGGGAGATTTGTTTTCCCCTCACAGATGAGATTATCTTTAGGGGAAAACAATGTATTTTTTTTTTTGAATAATAGCATTGGATGACTTAATTTGTTTATAAACAATCATTTCAGATATTCTAAAGCATACATTACAGTTGCCAAGCTCTATTTGCAAGAATCTTGCAATGATAGAAATGTAGAGTTGGAAGGAACCCTACAGGGTTCATCTAGTGCACTGTTTTTCAAGTATGGCAATTTTCAGGTGTGTGGACTTCAGATCACAGAATTCCACTGCCAGGAATGGGAAACATTGATCCAGTTGAATCCTCTGCTCACTGCAGGATCTAAGGCCCACCCAGCCTCTGTTAAAAGACCTGTAGTGAAGAACGCACCATTTCATATGGCAACCTGTTCTATTGGCCGATGGTAGGACCTTCTTGAGACTTTTTGCCATCTTGGCAGCCCTCCTGGGAACTTGCTTCAATTTGTCACTGTTCTTGTTGAACTTTTCAGAAGGCCTTTTGAAATGATAATATGATCCCCTTCCAATCTTCCTGCTTCCATCAATACTAAATGGTTTGAAACTCCTCAGAAAGTTCATATCTGAATAATGGGCTTTGTGTTCTTAGGAGGTATTGGCCTTTGATTTATTCATTTTGTTATGATCTGCCATTGGTCAGACCCAACCCAGCAGGTAACAGCCAAGTATTTCTTTACAAGTAAAATTGGGAAAAGAGCTTATTCTTAAGCTCTGCAAGTTGAAGTAATGTGAAGCGTGAAAGCACAAATGATGTGGAAAACAACAATTGAACAGATGACTCATTTTCTGTTTAAGGATTTTTTTTTTTTTTTTGAAGGACGCTTATGACATTTTCATTAGAATTGAATGGAAAAAACAACAGTTCAGGACAGCTTTGAGATGTTATGTATTTGATAGATAATAAAAAATACACTTAGAGGGTGGACTCTTTTTATTCCGTAACCAGGATTAGGTTTGGGAATTGGAGATCTTTATGTTTCAGGGGTTCCTTGCAGGACTCAGTTGCCATGATGCAACATTCCCAATTTGTGAAAGTAGATTTGCCCTAGAGCAGGGTACAGACAATGGGGTCTCCTACATGTAGTGCAAAGGTCTTCAAACTTGGCCCTTTTATGACTTGTGCACTTCAACTCTCAGAATTCTTCAGCCAGCATGCCTGGCTGAGGAATTCTGGGAGTTGAAATCAACAAGTCATAAAAGGGCCAAGTTTGAAGACCCCTAATGTAGTGCTTAACTTTTTCCCCATAGGTGATATGGCAGAGATGTATAGGTAGTCTTTGATTTACAACCATTCATTTAGCGGGCCATTCAAAGTTGCAATGGCATTGGAAAAAGTGACTTACAACTGGTCCTTACGACCATTGTAGCATCCCCACAGTCACGTGATCAAAATTTGAGTGTTTGGCAGCCAACAGGTATTTCAGATGGTTGCAGTGTCTGAGGTCACGTGATCGCCATTTGTGACTTTCTCAGTGGGCTTCCAACAAGCAAAATCAATGGGAGAAGCTGGAGTCACCTATCAGTCACATGATTTCATTTAACAACTGCAGTGATTTGCTTAACAACCATGGCAAGAAAGGTGGTAAAATCAGTGTGACTCATGTAATAACCACCTTGCTCAGCAGTGGACATTCTGGTCCCAATAGTGACTTTAAGTCAAGGACTGCCTGTACTTCACATAGGATAATGAAAAAGATACTGTAGAGCAGGAGTCCTCAACCTTGGCAACTTTAAGACTAGTGGACTTCAACTCCCAGAATTCTGGGAGTTGAAGTCCACTAGTCTTAAAGTTGCCAAGATTGAGAACCCCTGCTGTAGAGATACTATGATAGTCTGCTCCTAATTATATCATTTTCTATGAAAACCAGGCTTTGCTACTTAGGAGCAAGTTACTAGCCCCTGCAAAACAAAACCATCTTTCCTTCTGCTCTGAACAGCACTTGCCTTCCAGAGTCTTTTCATGGGCAAAAGGCAACTTCCAACCAGCCAGATTGGCCCTTGCCAGGCTCCTGGAGAACACTTGTTTCCTGGTACCTCAACAAATATTGCTGAACACACTGGTGAAATTATTCTCTCACTATCAAGATTCCCAGGACTTAATTTCCCAGGTCATCCGTAAGATTAGCTCCCTATTTTATCTTTCTGTCACATTCTATATTTACCAGCCATAAAACCCAAAGGTCATGTCTGAGCATAAGGAGAAATGCCTAATTTCAAATATCCCTGTTATGCAGCAAGATATATATTTATGAAGACAATGGGCTGATTATTATTGTTGTCCTGTAGCACAGTGCTCTGCCTTGCACAAAGACTTTTCTCGTCACCCTAGCTAAGGACAAAACATTTCCAGCAAATAATATTGGCAGACTCACATTTACAGATATTCAGGCAAATCAGAGCAGCCCTTTGATAATAAAAACATTCCCCAAATCTGTTCCCTAGAATTGTTTATCTTAGTGAATTGCATCTGCTCTCGCAGTCTTTCAAAGGACAGTGGATTAAATTTTACAAAGTCTGCCTGGTGTTACCTGTTGCCTAGACAACATCTTGAATATTGAACTGAACAAACATGTATTTAAAGAACTCATTATGATTTCCTTCCATAACTAGTGTCTGTTTCTGCTTCCTTACCAGTAGGCATCTCATAAGTCTCGTTTCAAATTGGCTTGTATTGCATCTCCATATGGCTTAAAAACCATAATTTGTAGAATGAGGCTCAGCAAAGTGGAAATATATGTTACTGAAGCAATTAACAAAAACAGAACATAATTGGATTTGAATTTATCCAGAAAATAGACATATCTGATCAAATTTAAATCAGATACGTAGACACTGTATGGTTAGAAAAAAAGTAATGACTAAAAATAAATTCAACTTTAAATGGAGTCAATGGGGTCTTTGGTCAATAGAGGCATTAAGGGAATATTCAAGTCACACAAAAAACTCAATTTTTCGCTTATGTTCTCATAGTGAAGGATGAATACCATGTGCCTGACTTGGCTCTTTGCAGTGAGGAAAATGAAACAGATGGTAGGTGAGGAGCTGAAGTTATGGGGATTATTGACAAATTAAAAGCCAGAAACTCACTGGATCCAGATGGCACCTACCTAAACACTCTTAAAGAATTCATATGGGAAATTGTTTATTCTATTTTAGGTATTTCAGATGTAAAATTTAACATAAGAACATGCATATTAGCACAGTGTCTGGGGGAGGCTGGAAAGTCGTCAATGTAGAGACCTGATTTGGTATAGTGGTTAAGATACCAGACTAGAAACTGGGAGACTGTGAGTTCTAGTCCCACCTTAAGCACAAAGTGAGTTGGGTAACATAGGGACAATTCCTCTCTCAGCCCTAGAAAGCAAAGCACATCCAAAAACATGGCCAAGAAAATTGAAGGGACTTATCGTCAGCCATGAAAGATCAGGTCCACATGTGAAGGTCCCATTAAACTAATTTATTGTTAATCATGTCTATGCATAAGTATCTTCTCAATTAATAGTTAACACCTGCTTGGCATTAGATAAAGGTGAAAGGAATTCAACAGAAATTGGACTTAGTTTGCTTGTGGTTACAACGGGATTCTAGGCTGATGCCTCTTTTAACTCTGCCCCCAGGTTCTGCCACTCCTTCTCTTATACTTGTCTAAACAGTTCTCAGAATCAACATTGATTTAAGGGCACTCCAACAACCCCCTTCCAAAAAAACACATACGGTACACAAATATGAACAAAGAAAAAATTTCCTCAGTGTGTTAATTCTTAGCAGTCCTCCACTGAATTAAAATTCTGGCAGGTTTAGAACTGATGAAAGGAAGGGCTCTTAATACAATGCATGTTTAAATTAGAAAATTGGTTCCCATCCTGTGTGGTGATGTTCATCCATTGGGATGATTTTAATAGGGTGCCTCTTAGAAAATTTATGGAAGCTGGAGCTTCCAATGACTATGCATCTTAGTGGCAGTAAAGTATTTCTTGGATCACAGACAGGATTGCACTTAGTGATAAAAAGCCAGCCACATGACTTTGGGCCAATCACTCCCTCTCAGCCCACCTCACAGGCTTATTGTTGAGCGGAAATTAGGAGGAGAAAGGAATATTATGTATGTTCGCTGCCTTGAGTTACTTGTAAAGTAATAAAGGCAAGATTAAAAAAATCAAAATATCCCTAAGTTTTGATAAACTTTCAAATCGTCTTAGGTAGAAAGAAATGCTTTTCTAGCTAAAGCTGCATATCTGGTTTTCTTCTTTAATTACAAAATTTGTCTCTCATCAGCGGGGGTCAGCAAAATGAGCTGGCCATCTGTGTGATATTTCATTGCTGTTTCCCAGCAATCTGACCATGATAATGCGGTGTGATACACAACCTGCTTTCCAAAAGAGGCTGTAGTTCATAACACAGCAAGTGCTGCCAAAATATATAACTGGAGGCCACACGCAGCCAGCCCTGGCTTTGGACAAAATGAATTAACGTTGTCTAATGAATAGAAATGCATATCAAAGACCAGATTCGGCAACTAATAGACTTTCTCATTTAATTTAACATGATGCTGGGTGTCTTGGATTCTGTAACCGAATGCATTAGCATGGCAATGTTTTTGGATTTTTGAATTTTAAACCCTGCGTCAGTCCTTGGTTTGATGTATTCGAGGAAAGGCTGGCTTTTGCAGACAAATAAAAAAATCCTTCTCTATCTCTAAGAAAACAGCTGGTTTTAGAGAGATGATGTCTGAAATTAATTTGGATTTTGCAGTCTCCTAGCTAGCCTTTGTTCAGTCTGTTGAACTTCAAGAAAGTGATTGCATTAGAAACCTAATTATTGGATATCGGTGTTTAAGACACAAAATATATATTTATTTATTGCTTGGTTAAGGTTTTGGCCTGGCATTAGAGACACAGACCCAAATTGTAGTCTGCCCCTGAGCACAGAAACTCATTTTGTGTCAGTCTCTATCTCAGCCCAAGGTACCTTGCAGCATTGTTACTGCAGAAAGTGGAAGGTACATCACCTTGAGTGCTTAAACAAAAGACAGGATTTAAATCTAATATATAAAATAAGACATGAATATGTAAATGAGGGGGGAAACCCTGCATTTATATACATTAGAAAGTTGTAGCATTTTTAATTTCCTTTAATTCAGAGAGTGCTACTTTATGAAATTCAAATTTTATTCAGTTTGGCTATTTTAATTCTCATGATTGTTAAGTACTGTTTATGGACAATGACTGCAAAAGGTCAAAAACCAGAACAGTCCCTGTCATGGTGAGGTCAGTATTGCTCTGCATAGTTCATAGCGTGCTCTATAACTGCCAGCTGTTCCTTACATTGGCAGAATTGTGCAAATTATATTTACTTATACTGTGCAGGTTTTATTGATAACATGAAATTTGTACCATCCAAAGCACAGAATGTAAATGCCATCGAATGTGTCCACATTTGACTCTTAAAAAGGAAAGATCAGCATCTTGGAGATGGAGGGAATTATCAATCAGCCTTTTTGTTCCTTCAAGGTTTTTGCAATTTGTGTTTTTTTCCTTGGTACTCCTGAGCATAAACATTATTGGCTGGATAGCTCATGTTAGTATGAGAATTTCGGCATCCTATACAGCAGGGGTGTTAAACTGGTGGCCGGCAGGCCGGATGCGTCACACACAGGCCACGCCCACCCTGGCTCCGCAAAGGCAAAAAATGTTGTGATATGTCACAATACATCACATGACGCGATTGAGTTTGACACTCCTGCAACCCCAGCTATCCAAAGAAGCAATGTGGCCTTTATTGACATGTTAGGAGTATTTAGATGACAAAACTGCTGTGGCAGTACAATCCACAGCTGGGTCAATTACTTTCATGGCATATACTTATAGCCTAATGTTGACATATAGGGCAGCCACCTTCATACAGGTAGTCCTCAACTTACAACAGTTTAGTGACCGTTCAAAGTTAAAACAGCACTGAAAAAAGTGACATAGGACTGTTTTTCACACGATGTTGCAGAATCCTCATGGTCACGTGATCAAAATTCAGACGCTTGGCAACTGACTCATATTTATGACGGTTGCAGTGTCCTGGAGTCACGTGATCACCTTCTGACAAGCATAGTCAATGGGGGAAACCCAGATTCATTTAACAACCGTGTTATTAATTGAACAACTTCAGTGATTCACTTAACAACTGTGGCAAAAAAGGTCATACAATGAGGCAAAACTCCCTTAACAACTGTCTCACTTAGCAACAGAAATCTTGGGCTCAATTGTGGTTGTAAGTCGAAGACCCACCGGTGTCTAACATGCCCTCTTAGCCAATAAATGCTTCTGCCACCTGTATGTTCTAGTTGTTCATCATCTTATATGAATATATCCAATCTATTTTCAGAGGATCACAACAAAAAGTAGCCTTTCTCCAGTTAAATAAGTTATGTAGCCCTGGCCTGTTGTTGGCCCTGTTCACCACCTTCAGCATTGTTCTACTCTTCAAACCAGAATTGATTCTGTAATCCCAGTTTTATAAAGTATTGCTGCCTCCAAGATATGATGCTGTCTTCTCAATGTGATTTCAATCCAGAGAATTGGCTGCCTTTTATTAAAGTAAAACTGTTTGCCTCAACCTACCTATTTTTAATGCTGAGATTACTGTTATTCAACCTTTGCTTTGCATGTCTATGAATTGAATTCATGTAGTCATTGAATTAATGTATAATTCCTTGTATATTGGGAGTAGATCATCTCCCCGCAGCGGATTCCTGCTACTATAGCTCCATCACAGCTGATGTCCCCAATGGTATTTAGTCAGAGTGCCCCACAGCTGCCAAAACCAAGTGAAAGTGGATGGCTGCCCGTCATGAATCAAGAAAGTACTTCTGGATCAGCAAACCTTCTTCTGCCTCTACAGAACTCAGAAGCAATCATCCCAAAGAGCAGCCCACTAACCAAGTTACAGCTACAAGAAACGCTTCTGCATCTGATCCAGGTAGGACATCCTGAACTCTTAGCCACCTATACCTTTGTTGTGTGTAAGTTGTACAATATAGTCTTCTTATTGCTATTGTTAGATGCTACAATGGAATTACAGGGCAGTTATAATACTGTTGTTGTTAATGCAGAAATTCTTCATATATTGAAATCAACCATTGGTTTTAGAAAGCCACAAATTCCTATTATGTGTTCTGTGAGGCTAGCTAGAAAACATCATTTGATTGGTCTGTGACTGCTTGATGAGCTTTATAAAAGAGAACTAGAATTTGGATTCCCCAGCATTATCCTTGCAGTTTCCATTTGGATGTCCTCTAGAACTGATGTCTATGGAAATGCTTAACCACCCAAATCCTGGTTGTCCCAAAGGTGCTTTTACAAAAGGCAACTGGACTTGTTTTTTCTTGAAAACATTTGGTTCTCATTCAAGAAGCGAACTGAAGTGCTTCTTGGATGAGAAGCGAAATGTTTTCAAGAGAAAAAAACCCCAAGAAAGTCCAGTTGCCTTTTAGAAAAGCACTTTTGAGACAATCAGTACCAATGTATTCATGAAGACTTCTCACGATGTTGACATGACTTTCTGAGCAGACAACATCATGTAATAAAATAGTATTTAAATAAATAAATGGAAAGTTGGCATTCCAAAAATAAAATATCATCCTTTAAAATCATGGAACCATAGGCATTCCATAAAATTTTTTTTAGTCTATCTTAGAAAATAAAAATTGTAAGAAAGCTTTGCCATAGGGCCACAAATTTTTTGATGATCATTATATGGTGCCAACAGAGAGTTATATAACATTTTAACTTAAATCTGGATTTTTGCAGCCTAAAGATAATGATAGTTATCATACTACTCCCCAGTGTTTTATTGAGACCATATTCATATATGTTTTTAAAAGTTATTTATTAAATTTATATGCCGCTCAACTCGCTGTCAGGTACTAGGTACAACATAATAACTTAGGGAGAAAAATCACATGAGTTATTTGTCTGATCTTTGTGTGTGTGTATGCTCTGTGTGTGATTTTTGCCAGGTTTTTTTAGCATTTGTAAATATCTATATGTAGTTTAAGTAATTTATGTTGTTTTCCATGGAGTGTCTATTTAATCTGTTTTCTATATGTATAAGTGTGTGTATTTTAGGGCTACCCTATCAGAGCTGCTGTCATCCTAATCCCCCAGCGTTTAAAAAAAAATGTGACATTATGATTTCCTTGAGATTCTTTTTAACTAATGTGTTTGTTTTCAGAATGACGACAACTTTCTAAACGTCATCTATGATGCTTATCTTGGCAGCATGAGAAAAGCAGCGCTGAAAAAGCCTACCTGAAGCATAATGTTTTAATTAAATGTAGCCTGATTTTCAAGTTTGGAACAGCAACACAACGGAAGAGGGTTTTTAATCTTTCGCAAGACTTTAAATTATCTTCACTGGAAGCATACCTTGTTCTAAGAAATTAGTAAATGGGATTAATAGTGCCTTCCTGATTGCAGTGTGAAAATAACATCAAAATAACTTATACTATGGTTCCTTAAAAAAAAAAGTGTAGATTCCGCAAAAGCCGCCCCTTTCATTAAAATAACAAAAGCAGCAGAATGTTGTGTGGAAGCTCCTCCCTTTTCATGCGTGCATATATCATGATGTGTGTACTCAAGGCATGGAGCTTGCATTGCATCAGGGCAGTCCCGCTTTCTTGTCCTTTGCTTTCTACCTGATGCCACTGCATTAGCGGTAGGCTGCCTTGTATAAATAGGATGGCTTTGGTTTTTCCAGATTTTGTGGGTTTTTAAATATATAATGGCTATTATGTGGGTGCTGAAAGGCCCTTCATACTTCAAAACTTATTCAGAGAAGGTTTCAAACTTGATATGAACACAGAATCTACTTGCTATTTGTTAAAGACATTTCATTATTTTCCCAGGCTTCTGCAAGGAAAAAAATAAAAGGATAATGTGAAACCACTCCTCAGCTCTTAAAGCAGCAGCACCTTTTTTCTGGTGGGGGCAGAAGTCTGAAAAAAGTGGGGATGCTCAATTAATATAGAGTTGCTGGGTGGCACAAGGTCTGAAGGCTTCTTCTGAATTCTTTTTGCTAGAGTCAAAAGTTTTTCTCCTTTGAACTATATAGAAAGAATAAATATTGAATAAATATTTATTGGCCACCAGGTGGCAGAATAGGTCTGTTGTTTTGTTATATCCACTATTAAACGGGAGTATGAGAGAGCTGCGATTTTATTTTCTATCAACTGAACTACAAGCAAGTTGTTCAGAAACCAACAAAGCGTACTTGATCCTAGATGATTTCTTGAAGGTAGGGCTACCATATATGGGCTGCACAAATCTGGAGGGCAGCAAGCCATTTCATAAAACTTTAACGCTTGGATAACATCTAGCAATTATTTGGATTTTTGTGCACCAGATCTGTTATCTCCAATAAAGATAATGAGTGCACATAGTACAGCCACCTTGTTAACACGTTTGAAGATCTCTAGACTAAACTCTAAGCAATTATTTTTGTCATCTTGCTTCAGTGTTTCAGAAACACATTATTTGGCCTTCTCCCCTGGATAATGACTTTCGTGTTTTTAAAATGGCATTCATATCATGAGTTGTGGCAACAGAGAGAAGATTTAGGGCTATCAGATCCAGGCATCAGGAAAGAGGTACAGAAAACTTTAACTGGATTTTTCAGTCCTGATCTGATAGCCATACCAAGATTAGGGTAAGGTTTATTAGTGTAGTAAACGTATATGCCATGATTCCAAGAGGCCATAGATATTTATGTCTGTTCTATGTTCTATGAGATCTCACCAGTTCTAAAGAATCTGAAAGACAGAATCAGTTAAGAGAAGTACAAAATTCCTATTTAAACTATGGGTTTTGTTAAAGACACCATTTGGATTATGTCAACTGCAGTGAAGCCCACATTTATCCACAAATTATGAAAGGCGTAAGATTGTTCTCTTTTTTTTAAAAAAAGAAAAAGAAATTGTAAGTAGGTCTTTTATATTTTATAATGATTATAAAATTATAACTCTTCAAAAATAAACTTTTGTTTCCACTATTCCTACCCTGTGATGTATAAAACTATTGCCTTCCACTTGCATTAAATTATAACGCCCAAACTTCCCAGCCTGTATGGCAGAGGTGGGGAACCACTTGACCTTAATTCCCAGAATTCCTGAACCAGTCAGTCTGGGAGTTGACTGTCCGCAAGTCATAAAAAGAATGTAAAGGTTGTAACAAATACGTCCAGAGGAACTGTGGGAAAGACTGATGTAGAAACAGGCCAACACCTGTCGGAAATTCTTTTAAGGGAGGGCTGTATTGTTTTAAATTATTAAAACCAGGACAAAGAATGAATAGTTTCATTTTTATTGTATTGTTCCATGAACAGATGGGCAATGGTTTGGTGGATCTATTTGTAAAGAAAATAAAATGAAGAACAAATATTTTTGTGTCGTCTCCATTTCTGCATTGTGCTTTTTGAGATTTGTCATTTTAAATATTGAGTTTAGTTCTCTTTAAATATAGTGGATAGAAAACCAGTACCCAAAGGATAAGGTGTTACCCAATTTAGTACGTAGTTTACTTCTTTTGAAGGGAGGTGCCTACAAATCATTCTTGTCTCCTGGTAATTCCTGAACAGGTCCCTGTAGTTTTCTTGGCAAAATTTTGGAAGTGGTTTACTCTTGCCTTCTCCTTTCTAGAGCTGAGAGAAATTGAGTGGTCCAAGATCACCAGCTGGCTTGATGCCTAAGGTGGGATTAGAACTCACAATCTCCCAGTTTCTTGGTGCCTTAACCATTGCATCAAACTGGCTCTATGGTTTACTTTAGACATATCTGAAATCTGAAATCAGTTATTCATCTGCTTGTCAGTTGTAAATTATTTACTGAGATGAATGGAAGTTCGCTATTAGAAAAATAAGATATTCTTTATGAATTGAGTCGCTATTAAGAATAACTTTTATTAATTCCAAAATGTCAGAAATCCCACACAGATGAATGGAAAAATGACAGAGAAGATGACAGGTGTTCTGTTCCAGAGGGAAACATCCACAACAGAGATCCTGGGCATACAGAGGAGAACAAGATGATCGGGAGCTTTGCAGGAAAAGCTTAAGAGGAAAGGTGGAGGTCTTAGGTCTGTGGTGGCGAATCTATGGCATGTGTGCCACAGGTGGCACGCAGAGCCTTCTCTGTGGGCATGTGCACCATCGCCCCAGTCCTAGGCTTTCAGCTGGGTTTTATAAAACCTTTTCGCTTTAGGCCTCCGCTGTGTGCAAAAAAAGAAAAAAGGTTCAATCAATCAACTTCAACTCGCGGGAAAAAAAAGATCTCACAAAGTTGGAATTGATTGATTTAACTTTTTAGTCCCACCCAGTCTGCCATTACCACCGCAGCCATGCCCACTCAATGGACCATACCCACTCAATGGGCCACGCCCACCCGGATACATGTGGGTTTGGAGTTGCTGTTTGGGCACTCGGTCTCTAAAAGGTTCGCCATCACTGTCTTAGGTAATTCAGCCTGGAGCAGTAAAAATTGCAATAGACATGATAGTGTTATGTAGAAGACAGAGCAGAATTATTCATTCCAGAGGACAGAACATGAAACGAAATGTTTAAATTGCAAAGAAGAAAATTTGGGTTGAGCAAAAAAAAAAAAAAAAGAACTCTGAAGGTAAGAGGATCACACTGAGCTATATGCTTTTTAATACTTGAGCAAACGGAATGTATGATCTCTTTCTAATGTATTTCATTCTGAGAAATGAGACCCTGAATTAAATCTCAACACAGGCAATGTTTATATACCCCCAACTGAGAATCTACCACCACCCTAGGCAGCCTACATATATATATATTGATAAATATTGTCAGTAACTCTCAATTCATTAATTGCTATCAACTTCCCATGAAACTGTTGGCTGAAATGGTTAAGGCCAGAAAATTCACAGGAACTAGAGAGCCACAGGTTGCCTGCCATTGCTGAATCAACTTATCTTGGGCATTGTGCATATCAAAAAGGAAATTTTAAAGTATAGCATAGACTTTAAATTTTTAACTCAGATGATACTTGCAATTGATCAATTCTATCAGCAAGCATCAATTTTAGAGAATGGTTAAAAGACAGGAAAGCCCTAACAGTGGCCCCATTAAATTATGATTTCATGAATCAATCTGACTGTTGAAGTAGGTTTTATTTATTTATTTACACATTTTAGTTAGTTTAGTTTAGTTTATTTGGAATAATCCAAAACCTAAACTAAATAAATGTAATATTTTTACTACAACCCATAAAAGGTATTTTTTTATAGCCTCTTAGATTTAAGAACTTCAAGGTTATTTGGCCTTAATCTGTGCCCATGCAGAAAATTCACTGTTACAGGATCCTGGATAGTGACTATATTGCCTCTGTCAAATTTCTACAAAGAAAGATTATTCTAACGATTCTGAGAAGTTTATTCCAATGCCATCAGCAGTTATTTCCTTTTCTTGTTTATTTAGGAAACAACCTGCTTCATCCTCTGTTCTCAAAGACATACTTGTAATAATCAACTTTGTTGCCTGCCTCTGAACAAATTCCAGTCTTTTTTTATCTATATTTATGGGCAGCTTCCAAAATTAAAATCCCTTATCTTCATCTTCCTAATCTCAGTGCAAAGAACACAGAACATTCTTTGCGTAAAAGGAAATAAGTTTAGTTGCCTTGGGAGGAAAGTATTATATCTGCAACAAATATTGTATTATGTATTTCCAAAGATTAGAAATGATAGTCTTTCATCAAATAAGAAATTAGTCCTGGAGTACTTTGATGTTAAACTTTTATCAAATTTATTGTGCTACTAATTTGAAAAATATTGAGTTGTTATATTCCATAGCAAGATTTACAAATTCTTGTCATTTGTAGGGAAGACTATCCATATAGTGATCTCAATATTGGACTCAAATATACCTAGCATAAATGTATTGCTAATAATTGTTGGCAACATATCTTCATAGTAAATTTTGGGTTTTTTATGTCATGCTATGTAACTCAGGTGCTGAGCATCAACATCTGTCCACCAGACCAACACTTGAAGAGTTCAAACTAATTACTTTATTGCCTCTTCCTATAATACAGGAATCTCCCCAGACTGGCAGCTTTCAGCTGGGAAAGGCCAGATAATGCTTAAAGGCATTCAGGTGCTCTCTTGTGTTTTATGTAGTGAGTCTGAACTAATTCCCTGCTTGAACCCCAACTCAGATAATTGGTCTCCAACAATATTTCCATAAAATGTACTATAAAATATTTTAGATGCAGACAAGGATCAACAGCTTGACAGAAGAGGTGGCTATGGAAATAAAGGAGAAATTATCAGTTTCGACAAGATGACAAAAATAACATAGACACAGAAATTAACAACAGTATATTTTTCATTGGCCAAGGTATATGTAGTGTTCTACTATGTCTTTGAACTCTGGTGCTGGAGAAGACCTGCGAGTCCCTTGGACTGCAAGGCGATCAAACTGGTCAGTCCTGGAGGAGATCTACCCTGACTGCTCTTTAGAAGGGCAGATCCTGAAGTTGAAACTCAAATACTTTGGCCACCTAATTAGAAGGAAGGACTCACTGGAGAAGAGCCTAATGCTGGGAAAGATTGAGGGCAATAAAAGAAGGGGATGACAGAGAATGAGGTGGCTGGATGGAGTCACTGAAGCAGTAGGTGTGAGCTTCAATGGACTCCAGAAGATGGTAGAGGACAGGAAGGCCTGGAGGAACGTTGTCCATGGGGTCGCGATGGGTCGGACACGACTTCGCAACTAACAACAACAACCACTATGTCTAGTTCTCCAGATATAATTTTTTTCTTTGATGAATTTATTAAACATAACCTGGTTCTTTTTCAGGTTTATTTTTAAGCCAAATGGTTCTCCTGCTTTGTGTAGTTTTTGTATGTATCTTTGTAACTCTTCCAGGTCTTGTGAGAAGAGAACAATGTCATCTCTAAAATAGGTGTCATTGATTTTTATTTTTTCTTTTGCTTAGTCTAGTCTGTGAAATACTTCTTCACTGAAGGCTGAGAAGAAGATAGGTGATACTGTATCACCTTGTTATACACCTCGTTCTGTGTAATTGATAATGCTAATGTGTAACACTTCAGGTCAATATTATTTCTATTGTGAACTTCTTTAAAACAGTATTAGAAAACAGGTACCTGAATCAGGCATGAGAACAGTTATATGCTTTTATAGTGATGTGTACAACAGATGAAGAAGAAAAATAACTACAGTCAGGGCTTTTTTTCTCATAGAACACCCAGAATGGAGTTCCAGCACCTTTTTTGGATGGAACCTTGTAGGATAGGCAAGGCGGGTTGTATGGCATGTGTGAGTTCCAGCACCTTTTTTTTACATAAAAAAGCACTGACTACAGTACAGTAATAACTATCTTATGATCTTATTTCCTCTTAAAGAGAATTCCAAGGCATATGAGCTCCTATAAAAGAAGACTGCTGTTTTCTAATGCCTTCTATAGTTGTGGGCCTTCTTGAGATGTTCATATCCAAGTCTAGAAAGGTTTTATTTAAGTTTTCCATTGTCTTTCTAAATCAGTGGTTCTCAACCTGTGGGTCGGAACCCCATTTGGGGTCGAATGACCATTTCACAAGGGTCGCCAAACAACGCAGTCCGCCATTTTTTCCCCCTTTTCCTTAGCTGTGCTATTCCCTTTTATTCTATTGGCTTTTGAAAGCCAATAGAATAGACTCTCTTGAATAGAGTCTAATTCTATTGGCTTTCAAAAGCCAATAGGAATTGTCCAGGCTGTCTCTGCCCTGCTGAGCCCACCAAAAGTCCCATTCTGCAAACGGTGCTGCACCAGTTGAGTAGTCTCGACCTACAATCGGTTGAGTAGTCCTCGACTTACGACCGGTTGGGGGTCGCGGCATTAAAAAGGTTGAGAACCACTGTTCTAAATATTCTTTTCCAAAGTGATCCCAACTTTGAAGTTTTTTTTTTTGCAAATAACCCTTTCAGCTATTTCCAATTTAAATTCCACCATGTCTAGATTTATTTGCCCAGTTCAAATGCCTTAAAAGTTTCATTTCAAAGTGGAAAACCTTGAGTAGACATTCATTATATTAGAGCTCCCTCTTGTGTTTACAAAAAAATATCTGATACATTCATAAGAAAAGAAAATTTAACAGATGACATGCAAATTAAACCAAGCTGGTTCCGGGACAATGAACTAAAATTTATTATTGATTACCCCACATTTATTATTTTTATACAGTATTTATTTGTATCCCATCTTTATTACTTTTACAAATAATTCAAAGCAGCAAATATATCCAACACATTTTCTTCCCTAACCCCTGTGAGGTGAGTTGGACAGAGAGAGCGATTAACCCAAAGTCACCCAGCCGACTTTCATAATACAAATAGGATAATACTTAAAATAAACTGTTT